ATTATCCCAAAATGCAATTTATGGATGAGGGGTCTGGTGCCATTCTGAGTTTTAAGACATTCCTTTCTTTTCATTAACAGACTGCTAGTGACTATACAACATCCAGCTGAATACTAGCAGAGGGGTACTGTTTCTGCCCTCTTCTGATGCCTATGTCAGAAGCTATCTCTATCTCCTTTATACTTTAATAAAACTTTATTACACAAAAGCTCTGAGCAATCCAGCCTCGTCTCTGGCCCCGGATTGAATTTGTCTCCTCTGGAGGCCAAGAATTCTGGCGTCTTATCGTTCAGCAACAACCTTTCAAGATCTGAAGTGGGGGGCATCTGAAGTGGGGGGCAGTCTTGTGGGACTGAGCCCTTAACCCAAGGAATCTGATGCTGTCTCTGAGAGTGTCTGAATTGAGTTGAATTGTAGGACTCCCATGTGCCATTGGAAACTTGCTTGGTATGCGGGAAAAAGACCCACACACTGGAGTTGGTCCTAGAATCTAACCCCTTTTCACTGACTACCCCAAACCCTGGGTTTCCCAGGTGGTACTAGTGGTAAAGAATCTGCACGCTGATGCAGGAGACACGAGAGACATGGGTTCAATCCCATGGGTTTGGAAGATTTGAAATCTTCCTGGGTCAGGAAGATTTCCTGGAGAAGGGAATGGCACCCCACTCTAGTATTCTTGCCTGGATAATTCCATGGACAGAGGAGCCTAGAGGGCTACAGCCCATGGGGTCTCAAAGAATCAGACATGACTGAGTGACTGAGCACACACATCCTAACCTCTAGGTCCTGGGTTTGGGAAGGCTCGCTCTAGGGACGAAGTGAGGTCAGGAAACCTTGAACTCTGCATAAGGAACACTAAATTGTAAGAGGTTCCAGAAAGTGCTGGGTAGATGCCTCTGGCTTTACTATTTCAAAAAGTGATCCTCAAAGCATGGAAGCCAGTGACATAAGCAGCCTTAGTCTCATCCATCTTTTGATGGCCAACCAGAGAGAGCCCATTTTCACTCCTGACAGGAAAAGAAATTCTGAGGGTCAGGATATTAAAAAATGAGTAAAAAGCTTGTGGTATGTCATACTTCTTTCCCACTAAACTTCACCCTGGATTTTTTAAAGAGGTTATCTTTTTTAGAAAGACCATACTTTGGCCACCTGATGTGAAGAACAGACTCATTGGAAAAGACCCCGATACTGGGAAAGACTGAGGGCAGGAGGAGAAGGGGATGACAGAGGATGAGATGGTTGGATGGCATCACTGACTCAATGGACATGAGTTTGAGCAAGCTCCAGGAGTTGGTGATGGGCAGAGAAACCTGGTGTGCTGCTGTTCATGGGGCTGCAAAGAGACAGACACGACTGAGTGACTGAACTGAGCTGAATAATTATCATATGAAGAAATCAATTTTTCTAAGAATTGACCATATGAAGTTACCCTTTGGGTATGTCAAAAAAGGCTGTTGGCAGTGTCATATGGTTCAGTGTAAAAAAAGAGGACTGAAACTAAAGGGGAGATATACTGTATTCCTCAATAAAGACAGAATATTTTATGTAAATTATTCCAAGTATGTAAGTTTAACATAAATCCAGTCATAATCACAAGGTAGTTCTAAAGTTCATCAGAAACAACAAATGACTGAGAATAATCAAGGGAAGGTTGAAGAGTGTTGAGTGGGTAGATGCCTTGCCAGACATTAAAAACTATTATAAAGCTTTAGGAATTGAAATAGTGTGGCACTGGCATGAGGACAGGCTGACAGTTCAGGATACACAGCCCTGAGACAGACCCTATAACATATATACATCTAGGATGGGCTAAAAGTCACAGAACAAAGTAGTGGGGAAAAGAGATGATTTCAAAAATGGTGCTTAAACAATTGGTAAATTATCTTTGTTTTTAAAGTCAGGTGATTACCTCACATCACATCACAAATAAATTCCAAATACATTAAAGTGATAAGTGTAACAATTACAATAAAAATATTTAAAGAAATATATCAGTGAATAGTCATATGATTGTGGGATGGGGTAGGTCTTTTACACAGAAGAGCAAAGTTAAAAACCCCAGAATAGTAACATGTATATATAATTGCATAAAAATTATAAAATATGTACAATAACAGCATAAATGGCATTAGAAGCTGAATGTCAAATGCATGCAGTAAATGACAAAGGGTTAATATCTTTAACATATAAAGACTTCTTACCAATTAGTGAAACAAAAAAGCTAAATAGCCTAGAAAAATAGGCAATGGGTACAAACGGAAAATTTACAGAGAAATACTAATGACAAATTGATATATGAAAAACATGCAAGTTGCTTGTAATCAGTAAAATTCAAATTAAAGCAACATGACAACATTTTTCAGCTATCAGGTTCACAAGGATTCAGAAAGTGAAATCACCCTACTCACTGCTGTTGCAGGCATCAACTAACAGCCTTTCTGGGGTGCAAACTTCATTAAGACCTTAGACTTATTTTTATTTTGTGGCCTGTATTTCTAGGAATACAGCTGAACAGTGTCATTACAGATGTGAAAAAAATATAAGGGCTTTCACTGCAGTATTATTGTACTGAAGAATTAGAAACAGCCTAAACAATTAAACATGGAGAAATTGTTATTTATGGTACGATGGAAGCAGAGATTGAAATTATACTGCCACAAACCAAGGCACACTTAGGGCTACCAGAAGCTGAGAGAGACAAGGAAGATTCCTCTTCTAGAGGCTTCAAGAGGGGCATGGCCCTGCCAACATCTTGGTAGTCAACTTCTAGGCTCCAAAACTTTGAGAGAATAAATCTGTTTTTTAAAAAATTATGGCACACCCAAAAGAAGCTGTGCTACACATATATACATATACATATACATAATGGAATATTACTCAGCCATAAAAAGGAATGAATTTGAGTCAGTGGTACTGAGATGGACGAACCTAGAGCCTGTCCTACAGAGTGAAGTAAGTCAAAAAGGGAAAAACAAATATTGTATATTAAAGCATATACATGGAATCTAGGAAAATGGTACTGATGAACCCAACTGTAGGGAAGGAATGAAGATACAGATGGAAAGAACAGACTTATGGATGCAGCAGGAGAAGGAGAGGGTGGGACGAATTGAGAAAGTGGCACTGACATATGTACACTATCATGTGTAAGATAGCCAGCTAGTGGGAAGCTGCTGTGTAATACAGGGAGCCCGGCCTGGCGCTCTGTGATGACTTAAAAGGTGCAGGACGTGGGGGGAGGCTCAAGACGGAGGGGATATATATATATATATTTATGATTCATTCATGATGTTGTACGGCAGAAACCAACACAACATTGTAAAGCAATTATCCTCTAGTTAAAAAAAATATTAGAACGGAAAATAATTATGGCATATCCAAATGGTAGAATATTATGTGATAATTAGAAAAGATGTTCTTAATACTTGATGGCCTGAGGCAATATCCATTATATAATAAGTGATAAAAGCACATAATTTTTCATTTATTATATAATTTCTACATACAGTAGGAATGCAATTTTATGAAAAAATAACTTTGCATATACATTTATATTTATATTTATGCATACACATCTGCATATACATATGAACACACAGAAGTAAAATTATTAATCACTATAACACATTGGGCTATTGGGCTTATAGGTAATTCTTTGTCATGCTTTTCTGTATTTCCCAAGTTTTCTATAATCTATGTGCATTCCTTTTTTTTTATTGTGGTAAAACACACATAACAGAAAACTTGACCATTTTAACCATTTTGAAGTGTATGTATTACGTTATTCTTAAAAGGGATAACAGTTTTTATTAATAAGCATACACTAGGCAGGTTCTCAGCTTGCATCAACATGACAATTACAATAATGTGACAATTTCAAAAATTTGTTTGGACAAAGGACAGGAAAGGAACACAATCCAGAGAGATGAAAAGTTTGATGGACTGGAGCAGCAGAATTGGGTGTAACTGTGATGTGTGTTGTCCTGAAGGCAGCTTTTCTTTATAGGTTGAGACAAATACTTTCAGGCTTTTTGGTGCTGAGGAAAGTGAGGCCTGGCTCAGCCAAAAAAGGCACATGGAGAAGCCGGGGGCCACTGAGACAATAGAAGAAGTTATAGACATGAGGAAAAACAAACTCAGCCGGGGCTGATCATTTAAAATTGGATTCAACTGGCCCCAAATGAGTATCTGAGCAGCTCTTCAGGATACATCAACTGTATAAACCCAGATTTGCCCAGAAAAGTCCAGGAAGGCAGGTAAGCCTTTTGATGTAGTCTGAGGGGAGGCTAGCAGAGAAGAAGCATGGTTCAGGGCAGATGCGAAGCCCCATTTGGTTTTGAGTTCACCCCCCAACTGTGTGAACCTGCCTTTAATCCTTATCCTTACTTGGACCACTCTGATTTTTCTTCGATCAGAATTGGCTGATTCTAGGCTCAGTTTCTCACTATGAGACCTTGACTATCAGGCTTTTGCCTCTGTGGTCTGTAGAGAAACTGAGTTTTCCTAAGTCACAATTAGGAAAATGCAGGGCCAAGCCCACTAAGACACCGACTCATTTCATATGCAGTTACTTCCTCAGCAGGGGAATCAGGGACTGCTGGCCCCTTGTTAGGGACAGTTCCTGGCTTAATTTGGTTCTTTCCAGGCTGTTTCGCTGAAGTAAGGACAGGCTGTTAAGGCCAGAGTGATCTGTACTCACTGTGGAAGCCACCTTGATGTAACAGGCAGTGGCAGCTATGAAGTGAGGGAAGAAAAGTGGGCCTCGCCTGCAGTCTACTTATCTGTAGACCGAAGAGAGCAGAGGGTGGGAATGGGGAGGCGGCGTGGGTTCATGCCCATTGCCCTGAAGTTACAGCAGAAATGCCACGGAGCGGGGCTCTGCAGAGGGTTTGTATGAGCAGTCATGAGCATTTTGGATCCTGGTCTTGCTCAGGCTGTGCTCTTTGCTGCTGTTACCCACCCACAAACAAGGCAAGGTCCCCCCAAACACAACTCCTCACCTGCATCTTCCTCTTCACCGTGTCAAAGGGGAAGGAGAGGGTCTGGGTCACTGCGGCAGCCAGGCAGACATTGGCAAAGTTCTGGAGGAGAGAGAACCGATCCCGGGGTCCATTCCAGATTTTCTCCAGGTTCATGTAAACTAGAAGGGAGCCGGCAGAGAAAGGGAGAGCACCTGAAAAACAAGGCCAGGGAGGCTGTGATGGCTCAGGAGACACTGGTTTGAGAACATAAATGCCAGTAGGGAACCCTGGGGAAAGCAACAGGACCAGCCCTGGGCTTGTGAAAAATCACTACAACGGAAGCAGCAGGCACTTTCTTGGGTAATGGTAACGTGGAATATTTTGATCGGGTTTGTGTCATTGATCACAATGCATCGAATGATTCCCTGAAGGTTTGTGTATTCTATGTCCATTTCACTTTTAAAAGAATCATAAACAAATATCGAACTCTAGTTAATAATACGCATGCTGAAAAGTTGAGGGGTGAAGTGTATTGATGTTTGCAATTTACATGAAAATCATCAAAAAATACATGACTGATGAATGGCGAGAGGGATGGATAGATAAATGATAAACCAAAACATTCACTGAAGGACCTGGTATATGCTGGGTATATGGATGTTTCCAATTCTTTTTAAAAAAATTTATTTTATTTATGTATAGTTGACTTATAATGTGTTAGCTTCTGATGTACAGCAAAGTCATTCAGTTATATAGTCTTTTCATATTTATTTCCATTATCATTTATTACAGGATATTGAATATAGTTTCCTGTGCTATACAGTGAAAGTGAAGTCGCTCAGTCATGTCCAACTTTTTGCGACCCCATGGACTGTGGCCCACCAGGCCCCTCTGTCCATGGAATTTTTCAGGCAAGAATACTGGAGTGGGTTGCCATTTCCTTTTGTTTATCCAGGGTATTTCCAATTCTCTTAACATTTTGGGGTGTTTGAAATTTAAAAAAATAGTGTTGGGGAAAAAAAATCACTCCTATAAAAAAATTAGAGGGAGGTACTTAATCAAGCTTTGGAGTTTAGTGGGTACTGATCTCCAGCTGAGAAGATAACTTCTGTGAAAACTGAAGAGTGAGATCGTAGTGGTGAGGGAGGGAGGTTATTTGACCTTGCTTCTGGGAATGATGTGGCTATATCAGGGCCCAGTGGGCACCCTGCACTGTGTGGCAGCCTCACCTTTCTTTTAAAAAAAAAAACTTATATCGGAGTAGAGTTGATTTACAGTGTTGTGTTAGCTTCTGCCATACAGCAAAGTAAATCAGTTATACATATACATATATCTACTCTTCCTTAGACTCTTTTTCCATATAGGACATTACAGAGTACTAAGTAGTGTTTCCTGTGCTATCCAGTAGGTCTTTATTAGTTATCTTTTTTTTAACTTTTTATTTTGTATTGGGGTATAGCTGATTAATGATGTGGTAATTTCAGGTGATCAGTGAAGGGACTCGACCATACAGATACATGTATCCATTCTCCTCCCCTCCCACCCAGCAGCCTCACCTTTCTAGGAAAAGATGGTGAGCAAGTAGTGCAGTAGTTGGCACTTTGAAGCTTCCAGAAAATTTTGGACCAATCTGAAGTTTACACAGGGACTAAATTTCTCCCTTAAGATGAGATTTAAAAGAGGAGCTAACACTAGTTGGGTTGCTCATCTTTAGAAAAATGTAGTATTTATTTTTATTTTTTTTCCTTTTTAAGAAAATTTTTTCTTCCCATTTATTTTTATTAGTAGAAAAATGTAGTATTTGTTTAATAAAAACAAAAATGACATACCAACGCTATATTTTCATTCAGAAAACATTTGTGCAGCTAATGCTATGTGATGGGCCCTTTGCCAGGTGCTAGGAATACAAAGAGGAGTGAGCAGGCTAATTCCTGGAGATGCTCACCATCTCGTGGGAAAGACAGACAGATAATGAATCATAATAGGGGGGCTAGGAGGGCTATACAAAGTGCTTTAGGTACACAAGGATCAGAGGGATCCATTTTGCCTGAGGGAATCAAGGACTTCACAGAAGAAAGAACTTTTCAACTGGGTCTTCAGGAATGAGCAGGAGTTCATCAGACACTGACAGAGCAAGCAGAGGGAACAGCATATACAGAGAGTGGTATTTCCAAGAAATGCCAGTATTTCTGGATGGCCAAAACAGGAGTGAAGGTAGAGTGTGGCAGGCGATGAGGTAGGGATTGGCCAGCAGGGCCAGGTCTGAAGGTGCTAGTATGCCAGAAGGAATCTGGGTTTTCCCCTGTAGCCCACAGGAGTCAATGAAGGCTTTTAAGGAGGGCAGTGGGAAGAGGTTGATGAAATGATTAACTTGCACTTAGAAAGCACACCACACCCCTGGAAGCAAGGTACAGGGTGGACTGGGGCAGGAGAGACCCAGGACTGGGACCAGGTAGGAGCCTCTCATGTCAGGAAAGATGATGAAAGCATGACCTGGGGCAGAGAAGATGAGGATGGAGAAGGGGCAGACTTGAGAGTTTTAAAAGGTGAAACTGACAGCACTTGCGGCTGAAGTGGGCATGGGGTGAGAGGAGTCAAAGTTGAGATGATACATTTCTTCTGGCTTAGGCCACTGGGTGAAAGAAAGGCGGTCTCATTCACAGGGACACAGGAAGGGAGCAGGCATGCAACTAATGAGGAAATCAGGTTTAGTCCTGACTGATGTATCAAGGGAATATCAGGTGGGGGTGTCCAATTGCAGGCATTCATACTACCACTGAGAGTTGGTGGTAGTCAGTGGCTAAGAGAGAGGGCTCTGGGGTTGTATTGCTAGATCTTCTGCTTTCTATCTATGTGGTCTTGGGCAAGTTGCTTAGCTTCCCTAAGCATCTATTTCACCTGTAAAATGTGGCTTAAATGAGGAGCTGTATGCAAAACGTTTAGGATAGTGCCTGGCACACAAGAGCAATAGATGTTAGTCACTGTTATTACAGAGATGAGATTGGGAGTCATTAGAGTATAACGATGTTTGTTTAAGCCACTAACTTAGACGAGGCCACCCAGGGAGGGAATGAAGAGTGAGAAGAAAACTCAGAAAGGAACCGGGGAATAGCAACAGGTAGAGGGCTGGCAGCATCAAATGAGCCAGACAAGAAAGAGCCAAAGAGAGGTAGGAAAAGACATCTAGAGACAGTGGGGTCCCAGAAGACAGGTTTATAGAATAAAGGGTGATTGATGGATCTCATCAAATACTGCAACGAAGGTCAGATAAAAGGCAAAAGTCTACTGGATTGGCAACTGGGGGTCCTGGTAACTTGTACAGGTGTAGCCCTGGCAAAGGTTCTGAAGATCACAGAAGCTACAGTTGCTACCCTGGTTGTGCTCAAAAATGTATGGATGTACTCGGAGACTCCTTCCTGCAGTCATATGGGGAGTATGTGGGACTGTTTTCCTGTCAACTTGTGCTGAGCCACCTGCAGGCTGTCCTACTCCCTCCCAGGCCAAAGTTATGAGGGGGGTGTATGGCTATGGAATAGAACAAAGCTAATCAACTCTATATTGAATCCATATGACCTTGAGCTCAAGAGATCATTCTGTAGTTTTTGAAGCAGAAGATATTAAGAAGAGGTGGCAAGGATACACAGAACTATACAAAAGAGATCTTTATGACCCAGGTAATCACGATGGTATGATCACTCACCTAGAGCCAGACATCCTGGAATGTGAAGTCAAGTGGGCCTTAGAAAGCATCACTACGAACAAAGCTAGTGGAGGTGATGGAATTCCAGTTGAGCTATTTCAAATCCTAAAAGATGATGCTGTGAAAGTGCTACACTCAATATGCCAGCAAATTTGGGAAACACAGCAGTGGCCACAAGACTGGTAAACATCAGTTTTCATTCCAATTCCAAAGAAAGGCAATGCTAAACAATGCTCAAACTACTGCACAATTGCACTCATCTCACACGCTAGTAAAGTAATGCTCAAAATTCTCCAAGCCAGGCTTCAATAGTACATGAACCGTGAACTTCCAGATGTTCAAGCTGGATTTAGAAAAGGTAGAGGAACCAGAGATCAAATTGCCAACATCTGTTGAATTATGTAAAAAGCAAGTGAGTTCCAGAAAAGCATCTATTTCTGCTTTATTGACTATGCTAAAGCCTTTGACTGTGTGGATCACAACAAACTGTGGAAAATTCTTCAAGAGATGGAAATACCAGACCACCTGACCTGCCTCTTGAGAAATCTGTATGGAGGTCAGGAAGCAACAGTTAGAACTGGACATGGAACAACAGAATGGTTCCAAATAGGGAAAGGAGTATGTCAAGGCTGTATATTGTCACCCTGCTTATTTAACTTATATGCAGAGTACATCATGAGAAATGCTGGGCTGGATGAAGCACAAGCTGGAATCAAGATTTCCAGGAGAAATATCAATAACCTCAGATATGCAGATGATACCATCCTTAAGGCAGAAAGCGAAGAAGAACTAAAGAGCCTCTTGATGAAAGTGAAAGAGGAGAGTGAAAAAGTTGGCTTAAAGCTCAACATCCAGAAAACTAAGATCATGGCATCCGGTCCCATCACTTCATGGCAAATAGATGGGGAAACAGTGGAAACAGTGACTGACTTTATTTTTTTGGACTCAAAATCACTGCAGATGGTGATTGCAACCATGAAATTAAAAGACGCTTGATCCTTGGAAGAAAATTATGACCAACTTAAAGAGCATATTAAAAAGCAGAGACATTACTTTGCTGACAAAGGTCCATCTAGTCAAAGCTATGGTTTTTCCAGTAGTCATGGATGGATGTGAGAGTTGGACTATAAAGAAAGCCGAGCACTCAAGAATTGATGCTTTTGTATTGTGGTGTTGGAGAAGACTCTTGAGAGTCCCTCGAACTGCAAGGAGATCCAACCAGTCCATCCTAAAGGAAATCAGTCCTGAATATTCATTGGAAGGACTGATGTTGAAGCTGAAATGCCAATACTTTGGCCATCTGATGGCAAGAACTGACTCATTGGAAAAGACCCTGATGCTGGGAAAGATTGAAGGCAGGAGGAGAAGGGGATGACAGAGGATGAGACGGTTGGATGGCATCACCGACTCAATGGACATGAGTTTGAATAGACTCCGGGAGTTGATGATGGACAGGGAGGCCTGGCATGCTGCAGTCCATGGGGTCGCAAAGAGTTGGACACAACTGAGTGACTGAACTGAACTGAATGGACCTTGAACTCACGTTAAATGGATTTAATAGGTTACAAAGATATGCAATACATTCATATATATCCCTTGAACTCAGTAAAGCAGATTTCACTGGTTATCAACAAAGATATACAAATCATTTGTATAGATCCAAGAACACAGCCTTTTCTTGGACAAGGTGACAAGTTTCATCTTACCTAAAACAGTAAGGGAAACCCCTCGATAAAGGGCCAGGAATCCTTCCTGTTGATAAATAGTAGAAAATGCATGGAGGATCCCCCTGTAGGATGGTTCCAGCATGTTCTGCACAATTAACCGGGTTTTGATGAGGTCTGTAGGATATGTCACAATAGTGGAAACCATCCCTGCGAGACTCCCAGCCATGATGGAGCTCCACTGGGAAATATGGCCCAGGTCATCCGTGAACAGCACGACAAACCTGGGAGAAAACAGGGAGAAAGGCCCAAGGGAATCAGCTATGGATTGTGTTGGAGTGTTCAATGCTACTGATTGCAACATTTCCCCACGTTTGGAAATGCTTTACGAAGCAAAAATTACTATACTAATGTATTAAGATAAATGAGTAACACATTCAATTCTATTATATTTATATAATTCTACTTAGCTCTAAGGAAGAGATACCTAACCTTCTTATTTCTATCTACCCTAAGTCCATCCACTTCATCTTAAGCATTTTCCCCTTTTATTTGCATAACTGTCAACCCTGGCTTGCCTGTGGGGTGTAAAAGAACAGAAGTACTCGATAAATACTGAACTGGAATGTGCTCCTTTGATTGGTTGCAACTTCAATGAAATTGCTTGAAACAATGACTTTAAGCATTCCCAGTAATTGAGGTTTTTTTGTTTTTGGCTGCCTCAGGAAGCATGTGGGATATGGTTGAACCTGCGCCCCCTGCACTGGAAGCTCAGAATCTTAACCACTGGACCACCAGGGAAGTCCCTTGAGTTTTAAAAATATATTGGTTTAATAATTGTAAGAGAAGATGCATGACCCCACCAACTGTCAGAGAAATAACAAATAAAAACAGTAACAAGATACCATTTCTCATCCAGCAGACTGGCAAAGATGAAAAAGTCTGATAGCATCAAGTGATGGTGAGAAAGTATGGAAACAGGAATGGTCACCCACTGCTGGGAGAGGTGTACATTGGCAGGTCACTTTGCAGTATCTAGTACAATTGGAAGAAAGCCTACTTTCATTCCAGCAATTCCATTTCTCAGTGCATATCCTAGAGAAACTCTTGTACATATGAAGACGTAAAATGTACTTAGAGACTCCTTCCTGCAGTAAGATGGGGAGTGTGTGGGACTGTCTTCCTGTCAGCTGGGAAGATTCTAAGCTTCCAATGCAGGGGACACAGGTTCAACCCCTGGCTGGGGACACTTATTATTAACACATTGCTTGTAAGTGAAATTGAATAATCTAAAGTCCATTGGTAGAGGAATGGATAAATTGTGGAAGTCATATAATGATACCATAAATTAATGCACTTGGAACTGTGTATTTACATGGATAAATCATAAAAGCATAAAGTTAAGTGAAAAAAGCAAGTTGCAGAATGACCTATAGTGTATGGTAACTATCTATGGTCATTTCTCTGTATCCACAGGTTTCAGAAACCCCAACAGGTACCAACATCTGTGGATGCTCAAGTCCCTCACATAAAATGGTGTATTATTTGCCTGAACTGAACTGAACTGAATACTTTAAGTCAGGGGCTTCCCTAGTGGCTCAAACGGTAAAGACTCTGCCTGCAGTGCAGGAGACCCGGGTTTGATCCCTGGGTCAGGAAGATACCCTGGAGAAGGGAATGGCAACCCACTCCAGTATCCTTAACTGGAGAATCCCATGGGCAGAGGAGCCTGGCGGGCTACAGTCCACGGGGTCACAAAGAGTTGGACACAACTGAAGCAACTTATCAGGTACACATGCACACTTTAAATCATCTCTAGATTACTTATAATACTGAATACAGTGTAAATGCTATGTAAAAAGTTGCTGGGATATGGCAAATTCAAGTTTTGCTTTTTGGAACTTTCTGGAATTTTTCCCCCTGAATACAGTATTTCCAACCTGTGGTTGGTTGAATCCGTGGATGCAGAACCTGAAGATACAGAGGGCTGACTACATTTAAATCAAGAAACACATCTATAAAACCATATTTTAAAGTAATTATGGATAGATATAGAGATGTAAAAAAAGTATAAAATAGACCCCCAAGAAGGTGAAGAGCAGATGGGACTGGAAAAGAGAATGAAGGGGACTTTACCATTATCTGTAATATTTTATTTCTTGTACTAGGTCTTCCCTGGTGGCTCAATTGGTAAAGAGTCTGCCTGTAATGCAGGAGACCCAGGTTCAATCCCTGGGTCGGGAAGATACCCTGGAGAAGAAAATGGCAACCCACTCCAGTATTCTTGCCTGGAGAATCACATGGACAGAAGAGTCTGGTGGGCTACAGTTCATGGGGTCACAATTAGCTTAAAAGATATTTCAAGTATCTTTTTTATTTCTTGTATCTTTAAAGCTAATTCTCTTTTATGCTGTCAATTCTGCACTGTGGGTATATGAGTGTTTGCTAGACCATTCTTTGTGTTTCGCTGCAGTTTCACAATTTAGTCCCAAATGGTTTTGGGTGGACTTTTCTATAGGCAAACTAGAAAGCCACTCGGTTACAATCCCTCTTTCTGGAAGCAGTACATCCCCAGTCATGAGGGCCTACGTTGGCAGAAATTGTTCTAAGAGGTCTTTTACATGGTTCATGTTCCCGGGCCAGGAAGCAAAGGAATTTTATTCATTCTTGGGAACTGTGGAGAAAATAAACGAGGGCTTGGAAACCAGGAAAAGTAAGATTTTCTGTCAGAGAGTGGGTAGGGGGAGCGGGAGAGGTATAACGAGAATCTGAATAAAAGGAAGGTGAACAGAGCTAGCTAATAGTATTGTATCTTTTTAAAAATGAGAGCATCCTGAATACTTTGGCTTCCAAAGCTCCAGCGAAGATGTGTATTTCCCGCTTTTTCAGTTTGGCAGCAGGCCAGGGCCTCCTGACTGATGAATAAATGTTCAGGTGAAACCACTGAGAGAGTTCTAGATTAGTTCCTTTGCTCCCAAGTAAACACTTATCTATTTAAAACATCTCCTTCAAGCTGTAGGAAAGTCTGGACTTCATTTTGTCAGCCTCACTTAATAGCCATTTGAGTGAACCAGCACGACCTTTTAAAGATACGGGTAAACCAAATTGGTTCTCCCTAGTAGGCTGCCTGCCTTGGTTTCACTGCCTGCACCCTTTTGAGTCCTTCCTCCCTCCTCTCTCCCCGGCCAGTTAGAGTTAGAGGGGAACCTTAGCAGAGGGATGGGAGACAGAGGAAGTGGAAATGCTTGGCTAGAGGGGTGGTCTGCAGCAAGCTGGAACAATCTAGAAGAAGGAGGAGTTTGAAGGCCAAAAGAAACACCATTCATTCTCATTGCCTTCCCCTTATTCTCCAATTTAGAGAACTCGTGCATGCATTCATTCCCCAGTCACTTAATAACATCGCACACTGTGCGAGCTTTCAGCATAAGATCATGAGAGTTCAACAGACCTACCAGAGAGATGTCTGATAGGGGTGGCCCAAGAGAAATTAAGGTCTCTGAATGACTTGATGAACTAGGAAGAACCACCCTGTCTTCTGTCAGTTTGCTTTATAAAGAGGGTCTTGCTAACAAATATACAAAATCAAAAAGAACCAAGGAAAGCCCTTTTTCTCAGACTCTTACTATACAGAGGCAAAGACTACAGATCGTTCCTCTTACAGAGTCAAAGCAGGGCAACCCTGATAGGCCATCAATGACATCATCTGAATCCCCACATCTTAAGTGCTTGTCTGATTGGCTGGGGCAGCAGTGTTCCCCTTTCTGCTCTTCCTTGCACTCCCACACACTGCACAGAAGCTTTTCCAGTGAGACTGGATAAGCTGATGAACGGCAGTAACCCCTTCATTTCAGGCACACGGAGATTACACACACCCTTGATGTATGTAGTTAGAACTGCCAACACTTCAACCTAACACAAGTTGGCAGCCAAACACAAGCTCGTGAATTGGTTACACAACAAGGAAATGGTGTTGGTGATGAACAATTTCAGAGTTTCAGGGACCCAAAACTACGCTTATACAGCTAGACAAACAGCTGTAGCATAAAGTTGGGTGAGAGTCTACATCTGATAGCCATCCATTGTGTTAGGTTTTATTTGTTTAGTACAAGGACCTAGCTCCTCCCAGACTCTACTGAGTGGATTCTTTTCATTGTAAATCCAAGTAAGGAGATACGTCATCATCACAACGTTAAGCAGAGCACTGGACTAAGCAGAAGACCTGGTTTCAAGCTCCAGCTCTGCCATTAATTGTGTTTGTGGACAAGTCACTGAACTACTGCATTTTCTTTTTTTTTAAATTTTTTATTTATTTATTTTTGACTGTGCTGGGTCTTCGTTGCTGTGTGGGCTTTTCCTGAGTTGCAGCGAGTGGGGGCTACTCTCTAGCTGTGGTACATGGGCTTCTCATTTCAGTAGCTTCTCATTGCAGAGCACAAGCTCTAGAACTCCCAGGCTCTAGAGCACAGGTTCAATAGTTGTGGCATGTGGGACCTTCCTGGACTAGGGATCAAACCTGTGTCTCCTGCATTGGCAGGTGGAATCTTTACAATTGAGCCACCAGGGAAGCCCCAAACCACTGCATTTTCTGAACATTCTGTATGTTTATGCTTTTTATTCAAACCCACAAACAACTAACTGTTTTGCAAATTCATGGTCAGGAGGTAGAGATTAATCAGTATAATGATAGACCCAAGGTATTGTCTTAATGTAGGAAGTCTGGCATCATGATTGATCAACCACTTTGCTGCCTATCACTGAAATAGTTCCTTTTGATTTTCAGAAAGAAACTAACCTTTCAGGAAAACATTATTAGCAAACCTAGCCTGAGTAGTTATGTGTTCTTCCTCTCCCACACATCTCCTTTTCTCCATTCCCACTGTCATCAGTCCACTTCAGATGCCCCTTAGCCACCACATGGACTAGTTCAACTGGTTCCTAAATGGTCCTGCTGCCCCCCAGCCTTCTTCCTCTTTAGCTGTCCTCTGCAGCTACCAGGTGACAATTCCTGTTGAATTGCTTTAATCACAGCACTCCATCAAAAATCCCCCACAGTTACCCTTGCATTCCAAGTAAAGTCCAAACTCCCTAATCTGCCCCTCCAAGATCTCATTCCAACCTGCTTTTCTGGTTGTATTTTCCATTACAGCCAGAGACACACCTTATGCTTCAGTCATGCCGCATGCCTTCCCACCACTGTGCCTTTGCTTATGGCATTACCTGCAATATCTTTCTCCCCAAGTGTGCCAGAAAACTCCTACTCATTCTCCAAAGACCAAACTCGGATGGTTTTCCTCCACTGAGACATCTTCACATCTCCTCCGTCATCAGAGCTCTGTGAATTTCTATAGCACTTTATCCTCGGCAGTCACACCCTATGGACACACTAGTTTTATTCTATTGCTCTGGAAGCTCTGGGACACAGGGGCCATGACCCTTTCATCCTTGCATCGTCCCCAGCATCATGCATACAGTGGGCACCTAATGAATGCTGACAGAAAGGCAGTATGAAGTAATAGGGCATGGGTATTAGAGTTGGAAAGCCAGGTGGTGGAGTTCAGCTCTGTCACTGATGGGTGGTGTGGCCAATCTGAGCCCAACAGTGCATCTGTAAAGTGGGTATACTTCCTGTCCTGTGGATAGTACAGGGAAGGAGACAGGTGTTGTAAATATCCAATGATTTACACACACACACACACACACACACACACACACGAAATGGTAACTAGGTAGAGGTAATGGATGTTAATTAGCTTGAGTGTGGCAATCATTTCACAATGTATATATATATCAAAGCATCAACTTGTACACCTTAAACATAGATAATTTTTTATGTCAATGATATCTCAAAAAAGCTCTTAAAAATCCAATGATATGCAGTCATCCCTCTGTATCCATGGGTTTCAGAACTAACTGCAGATTGAAAATATTCAGAAAAAAATTCCAGGAAGTTCCAAAAAAGCAAACCTTGAAGTTGCTGCACAGTAGCAACAATTTACATAGCATTTACATTATAGTTACAACTATCTCCATAGTATTTACATTGTATCAAGTAGTATAAGCAACCTAGAGATGATTTAAAGTATCCAGGAGGATTGTGCAGGTTACATGCAAATACTACTCCATTTCATAGAAGAGACTCGAGCATCTGGGGCGGGGAGGGGGTGTGTGTGTGGTGGGTGGGGTGGGGTGGGGTGGGGGGAGTGGGGGGGTGGAGGTTGTCCTGAAACCAATCCCTTCCCGGATATGGAGGGGTGTCTGTATATATTGGAGAGGGTTAGCAGCAAAGCCACAGTACTTAAACCAGCCTTTGAAGTTCTGCTTCCCTCCCCTTGGTACACATTCCAAAGGAGGAGCTCCATACTTTGTGGACAATACAGTAAAGTGGGGAGAAATTGAATCATTAAAACTCAGAGGAGAAATGTTTACAGACTGCCGGCCAGATGTTGCTGAGGGCAAGGGGCTGGGGAGGAAAGAGAGCCTTGACAGAAATGCCCCACCATCTTACTACCCTCCTTTCCCAGAGTAAGGGAGGCAACGCTATTCCCAGGCATAAGGGAAATGAGCGCTGGCCTCAAGGAATCAGTGATAAGGAAGATTCCATTGGGCTTGTCAGTTGTCGGATCAGACTTCCAGCTCCAGCTTCCCTGAGCCCAAGGCAAAATCCTTGACTGTCAGTCTGCAAGGCAGACCTACAGTGGTCAAGACTGTGGACTGTGTTTCTCTAATTCTGAGCCAAGGCCACGCTTCAGAGTTGGCTGCTGTTCCCAGTGAATGGGGAACCCGGGACCATCCCCCCAACTACAGAAACGTCTTCTCTACCTGAAACCCCATCGCTACCACTTCATTCTTTTAGGCTGTGTTTCCAGTTAATATGCAAATATCTCTGAGTCCTCGAGGAAGCTTTAAGACTCATCAGGCTAATTTATATCTTTATAAGTTTTTCTAAAAACCAGCTGTTTTTGTGGGAGGTGTTAAAAGGAGGCCAGTGAGCAGTGAGGGTGGGGCAGCCTCTGTAGGACCCCAAAGGCCAGTTTCTTGGGGGAGAGGGTGGGGAGCCGAACTCCACGGCCTTTTGGTGGCAGTGGATTGGGCCCTCTGTCCCTAGCAAGTACTGTCTTCTGGGGGTTCTTCTTCAGGGGTCTCTCTCCCAAGCCAGCCAAGGCAAAAGTTCCAAGTTGGTGGACAGTGGGAAGGGGGTTAGGAGCCATCTATCCGGAGATTTCTTCACTCTTTCCCCCCAAATCTCCTTTCGCCCTCTTCCGCCTCCTCGCCTGTCCAGCCCTGTCAGCCTCTCTGGGCCAGAGCTGCGTCCACCTAAAACTGCAGAAATCCCCGGAAAAGGTGAAGAAGAAAAGGTGGGGACTGCACTTTGGGGGCCGAAGAGGTCGCCTTCTGGCCCAAGGGGCTCCCACGAGATCCGGAAAGGGGCGGGGGCGCACCGCCGGCCCGATCCCCAGCACCCGGCGGCGTCGGGCCGCGGGATACCCGGCGGCGGCCCCCAGGCCCCGGCCCCGCCCACGCCCGGCTCTTACTTGCGGTAGGCAGCTAGCTGGACGGCGCTGCAGGGGAAGAGGCGCAGGCAGGCCACCGCGTTCCCCTTCCACAGGGCGCGGGGCCCCTCGATCCGCCACACGCGGAGCCCCGCGGCCCACGGCCCCCGGGCGCGGCCGCGCACGACGCCGACCTGGGCCAGTACGGTGGCGAGCTCCAGCGGCGCGGTGAGGCTGAGGCTGAGCGCCCCCGCCAGCCCGGCGCAGAGCAGCCGCTGGCTGCCCGTCAGCCGGCCATCCCGCCGCCAAGTCGCCATCGCGCGTCCGCGGCCCGAGCCCCGGGCGCCCGGCCGATCGCGTGGTTCGGGCCTGGGGCTCCCGGGCTCCGGCGCAAGGGGCGGGCCAGGCTCCGCCCGGCGTAGGGCGGACCCGCGGACCGGACGGGAAGCCGGTCCGCGGCCGGGCCCGAGCCCGGGGCGGGGTTGAGGAGGCTGGTCCGGAGTTGAGGCCTTGGCCGTGCGGGTTTAGTGTCCGATTTTCGGCCAAGACGTTTCTGTTTGCAGTTGAGAAACACTCACCGCGTTCTTTCAAGGCCTAGGCCGCTCTATTTGTGTTCTGAATATTCAGCGCCCCCCACCCCGCCTCATTTACACCCTTTCTCCCTTTCCAAGTTCCACCTTGCCCCCTTCCTTCTCTCGTCTCTGTTCTCATTCCTGCGACCTTTTTTGTTTTTTTCTGCCCCTAGGAAAAGCTTTATAGATTTCTCAGGGCAGAAGGGAAAAACCTTCTATAACATACACACGATATCCAACACTTGACAAATATCAGGCTTTTTGTACATTGTCTTATTTAATCCTCAAAACAGTCCTTAGTAGGTTTGTCCCCATTTATTACTCTCAATTCGAGAGGCAGTGGGTACGGTGCTTAGAGCTTCGACTCCAACCTGCGTTAGCATCTGAGCCCTGCAGTTTACCAGCTGTGTGACCTTGTGGAAGTCACTCAATCTCTCTGTGCCTTACTTGCTTCATCTATAGTTTTTTTTCCTCTAGGGGTTGTTTTAAGTAGTAAATGAAAAATGATACAGGTAAGCACTACGGATGTGTTAACTATGATTAGATGTTGTTTTTACAGAAGAGGAAACCAAGACAGAGAGATTGACTTGTTCTAGGCACACAGTGGCTAAACGCCATCTGGATTGTTTTGTGACAACATTCCCTAACAGCTACACTAAACGTCCACTGGGACAGCAGAGTGTCTCTCGAGTAGAGACATTTTCGGTGGTTTTGTGAGCTAAGGGGACCACAGGGGCAAAGAAGACTTAGCAGTCAGTTACTTGGCCAGAGTGTAAGAAGGATTTTGATAAGTTTTAAAAAATTCAAAATTTCTCCCTGGTTTCTCTTCTTACAAAGCCGTTTCAGTAATAATAATGGAAAGGTAGTCCAGCAGTCTGTTAGTATAAGACAAAGGATTAATCTCAAAAATATACAAGCAACTCTTGCAGCTCAATTCCAGAAAAATAAATGACCCAATCAAAAAATGGGCCAAAGAACTAAACAGACATTTCTCCAAAGAAGACATACAGATGGCTAACAAACACATGAAATGATGCTCAACATCACTCATTATCAGAAAAATGCAAATCAAAACCCTGCTTTCTTTTTGTCTATAGAGTTTATCACTATCTGACATACTATGTATTTTCCTTAAAAACCTGTCTTCCTTTAGCCCACTAGAATGTAAACTCCATGAGGGCAGGTGTTTTGTTTATTTTGTATTCTTCTAAATTTGTGGCACCTAAAACAGTGTTGTGGCACAGAGTAGGTTAGTAAAGTGAAAGAAAGTGAAGTTGCTCAGTCGTGTCCAACTCTTAGTGACCCCGTGGACTGCAGCTGACCAGGCTCCTCTGTCCATGGGATTTTCCAGACAAGAGTACTGGAGTGGGTTGCCATTGCCTTCTCTGAGTATGATCATCACTGGCTATCAAACAACCCTGTTGTGGGGTTTGGAGCATCTTTTCTCTCAAAGATGGTTGTAATATTGGCAGCTGAGTGGAGAAGAGGACTGAAAGCCTGAGGTAAAGTTTTCAGCCCCAGGAAGGGCTGGTCCAGGACTCAGGATACGTTCTATTTTTTATTCCACCACTGAGCAGCTGTGGGGCATTAAGAAAGAGGCCTCACAATTCCTGGACTTCCTCTTCTGAAACACAGAAATTTGTCCCATTCTGTTATTAGAATGTGTCAAGGACAAGTAGGACCACTTAAAATAGGTGTCTGCTACATTCAAGGAAAGGTGGCTTTGACAAAGGTAAGTTGTCCCTCTACCTCCTTCGGCTGAGGTCTGGGCTTTCTTCTTTATTGGAGTGGCCAAATCATCTCCCAGGACCTTACTATCTGGGGGCAGAAAGTATTGACTGAAGGCTTCAAGCTTTATTCCTGCAATTGCAGCTCCTATCTGAGCCCTTGAGGACAGACAGTTGGAGACAAGGGGAGATTGGGGTGGGGTAGGCAGGGGATGCTCTGTTTCACACTCTTCCAAGCTGACACCACCAGGACTGGGATGGTGACAAGACCTGGACTCAGCGTGCAGAGAAGCTGAGCCCTGCAGACAAGAAGCAGATAGACTGCACCAGGCCCCTTAATGAACCCAGCACCAGCTTCAGATAAACTGTCACCACTTACCCCTCCCAGGCCTCCCTTCTCCAGGAAATACTCACTGCTTTGCGTCAGCAGTGGGCTTGCAGGAGCAGGGGCCCCAGGAAACACTCACTGCTTTGCGTCAGCAGTGGGCTTGTAGGAGCAGGGCCCCCAGGAAACACTCACTGCTTTGCATCAGCAGTGGGCTTGCAGGAGCAGGGCCCCCAGGAAACACTCACTGTTTTGCGTCAGCAGTGGGCTTGCAGGAGCAGGGCCCCCAGGAAACACTCACTGCTTTGCGTCAGCAGTGGGCTTGCAGGAGCAGGGGCCCTAGTGCCTGTTGCTCTCCAGAGAAGTTCTGGAGTTGAGACTTTTGGGAACTCTCATTAGACATGTATTTGATTTCCGTTAGCTCCAGCTGAATCCAACTCTCCAGGCCCAAAGAGGAGATGGAAATTAGCAACTGTTGTGAAAATACATGTAAAAACCACCAAGGGAATGTTAATTTTAAAATGTGTATTCCAGGACCTAAAGAACATATTTGCAGACAAGTTCTTTAAAGAGGTAATTAAGGTAAAATGAGGCCATTAGAGTGGGCCCCAATTCAATATGGCTAGTGTCCTCATATGAAGAGGTGATTAGAACTTGAGAAGACCATGTGAAGACAAGGAGATGACAGCATTTACAAGCCAACAAGAGAGACTGTAGAGGAAAGAAATCCTGCAACATCTTGATCTTTGATTTCTACTCTCCTGAATTTCAGAACATAAATTTCTGTTGTTTAAGCAAACAAAAAACAATGTGTTTTGCTTTCTTGTGTTTTTTTTTACTACTCTTTTCATTTCTCTTTTGAATCATAAATTCTTTCTAGCCATAGAAGAGGTATGTACATTACAAGCAGGTAAATTCTGTTTAGAAATGTTGAGAACTCCATCCCAGAGAAGCTGGGTGATAGCAAAGATAAGACTAAAATCTGAAAGTCTTGCTTCTCATCAGGAATATTTCATTACAATATTTGCTGCAATAATTGCCCAATTTTATACTTTGTTTTGGCCTTTGCAGACCTGTCCATGCAGGTTCTGAGAAATGCATCATCTCTTTGTAGGTAACTGGGACAAGCAGACTCAAGCTCATTTCTTCTCTGTTGCATGCTACTAGGATAACCCTTTGTAGTTTCTCAGCCTTGAGACCAAAGAAAGAACCTAAGAACAGTGACAGAAACATCAATGATTTACTGGGTAGGGGAATTTTACCCAAAGGGTCTTGGAGTGACTGACACCCTATCATGTATGGCAGATGGTGGGCAGTAGGTTAGTAAGCACTCAATAAATGTTTGTTGAATATATGAGTGAATGAACCAACTCATAAGATACTGATATATCTGATATATACTGATGTATCAGTATCAGCAGAATGTCTGTCTCTTAATTGGCTGTGAAAAAAAAAAGTATGATTGCTAAGCAGATCTGAATACTCACATTAGATATTCAGGGTACCCTCTTCCCTTTAGGGGAGTCTTAATGGGAGACGGCAATGGCAACCCACTCTAGTACTCTTGCCTGGAAAATCCCATGGACAAAGGAGCCTGGTAGGCTGCAGTCCATGGGGTCGAGAAGAGTCAGACATGACTGAGTGACTTCACTTTCACTTTCACTAATGGGCTATCACACTACAGTGAGAAGTTAAGGAAATATTAGGATACTCTTTACAGGTTCAGTTCAGTTCAGTTCAGTCGCTCAGTCGTGTCCGAGTCTTTGTGACCCCGTGAACCACAGCACACCAGGTCTTGTTGTCCATCACCAACTCCCTGAGTTTACCCAAACTCATGTCCATTGAGTCGGTGATGCCATCTAACCATCTCATCCTCTGTCATCCCCTTCTCCTCCTGCCTTCAATCTTCCCAACATCAGGGTCTCTTCAAATGAGTCAGCTCTTCGCATCAGGTGGCCAAAAGACTGGAGTTTCAGCTTTAATGACAGTCCTTCCAATGAACACCCAGGAAAGATTTCCCTTAGGATGGACTGGTTGGATCTCCTTGCAGTCCAAGAGACTCTCAAGAGTCTTCTCCAATATCACATTCAAAAGCAGCAATTCTTCTGCATTCAGCCCTCTTTATAGTCCAACTCTCACATCCATACGTGACCACTGGAAAAACCATAGCCTTGACTGGACGGACCTTTGTTGACAAAGTAATCTCTCTGCTTTTTAATATGCTGTCTAGGTTGGTCATAACTTTCATTCCAAAGAGTAAGTGTCTTTTAATTTCATGGTTGCAATCACCATCTGCAGTGATTTTGGAGCCCAGAAAAATAAAGTCAGCCACTGTTTCCACTGTTTCCCCATCTATTTCCCATGAAGTGATGGGACCAGATGCCATGATCTTAGTTTTCTGAATGTTGAGCTTTAAGCCAACTTTTTCACTCTCCTCTTTCACTTTCATCAAGAGGCTCTTTAGTTCTTCTTCACTTTCTGCCATAAGGGTGGTGTCATCTGCATATCTGAGGTGATTGATATTTCTCTTGGCAATCTTGATTCCAGCTTGTGCTTCCTCCAGCCCAGCGTTTCTCATGATGTACTCTGCATATAAGTTAAATAAGCAGTGTGACAATATACAGCCTTGACGTACTCCTTTCCCTATTTGAAACCAGTCTGTTGTTCCATGTCCAGTTCTAACTGTCGCTTCC